TTATCTTATCTTATCTTATCTTATCTTATCTTATCTTATCTTATCTTGAGCATTCATTATCAATTTACAAACAAGACAAGATAATTTTTATTAAATTATAAATTTAAATTAAAAACAGTGTCAATACTTTAAACGCCCCATTTTAATAAAAAACTGAGATAAAATTACATGTGGAACTGGAATATTACACATTTGTTAAAACTAATGACTTTGATATAAAAAAGCATGAATTATGAGGTCAGTGTCGTTTTGATGAAGAGGAGCTCACCTGCGGCAGCGGACAACAGCCCCATTTTTTACAAGAAGCTATGAAGCAGCAGGTTGTGTCCCGAGGGCAGCTGGTGTGATCGTCACACTGAAGCCTGTCCTCCACTTCGTCCTCTTCAGCTTCCTGTTGTGTTGAAACCTCTTCCTCAGACGTCTCCACTGACACCGTCACCTGGATTTGGGTCGTAGTTTCCTCTGTGGGGGGTGTTGCAGTGGTAAATGCAGGGATGTTCTGGGTCATGGAGGATGAGTCTGAAACATTCACATACTAGATCAGAACAGAACATGATGTGTAGAACAGAACATCTTCTTCTTCTTCTTTCGGCTTTTCCCTCTTCAGGGGTCGCCACAGCGAGTCATCCTCCTCCACCTCACTCTGTCCTCTGCATCCTCTGTCCTCACTCCAACTACCTCCATGTCCTCTCTAACTGCTTCCATATATCTCCTCTTTGTCTTTTTTCTGGCAGCTGCATTTCTAACATCCTTCTACAAATATACCCACGGCCCCTCCTCTTGACATGTCCAAACCATCTCAGTCTGGCCTCTCTAACTTTATCTCCCAGTTGTTCAACCTGTGCTGTATCTCTGATGATCTCATTCCTGATCTTATCCAGCCTTGTCACTCCTAAGGAGAATCTTAGCGTCTTCATTTCTGCCACTTCCAGTTCTTTCTCCTGTCTTTTTTTCAATGCCACTGTCTCCAGACCATACAACATAGCTGGTCTCACCACTGTCATGTAAACTTTTCCTTTGACATTTGCTGACACCCTATTGTCACAAATCACTCCTGAAACTTTTGTCCATCCACTCCATCCTGCCTGGACTCTCTTTTTCACTTCTTTACCACATTCCCCATTTCCCTGGACAGCTGACCCCAAGTCCTTGAAGTCCTGCACCTTTGTGAGCTCTGCTCCTTGTAGCCTCACTGTTCCACCTCCTCCCTCTCATTTACACACATGGACTTTGTCTTACTACGGCTGACTTTCATTCCTCTTCTTTCAAGTGCATACCTCCACCTCTCCAAGTTCTCTTCCACCTGTTCCCTGTTCTCACCACAGATCACAATGTCATCTGCAAACATCATAGTCCACGGGGATTCTTGCCTGACCTCATCTGCTAGTCGGTCCATCACCAGAGCAAACAAGAAGGGGCTCAGAGCCGATCCTTGATGCAATCCCATCTCCACCTTGAAGCTATCTGTCACTCCTACAGCACATCTCACCACTGTCCTGCTGTCCTTATACATGTCCTGTACCAGTCTAACATTCTTTTCTGCCACTCCAGCTTTCCTCATGCAGCACCACACCTCCTCCCTCGGCACTCTGTCGTATGCTTTTTCTAAATCCACAAAGACACAATGGAGTTCTTTCTGACCCTCTCTGTACTTCTCCATCAGCATTCTCAAAGCAAAGATGGCATCTGTGGTGCTCTTTCTTGGCATGAAACCATACTGCTGCTCACAGATAGTCACCTCTCATCTAAGTCTTGCTTCCACAACTCTCTCTCCCAGATCTTCATCGTGTGGCTCATCAGCTTAATTCCCCTGTAGTTGCTACAACTCTGTACATCACCCTTATTATTAAATATGGGCACCAGCACACTTCTTCTCCATTCCTGAGGCATTTTCTCACCCTCAAATATGCCATTGAATATTTGAGTCAAAAACCTCACTGCCATCTCTCCAAGACATTTCCAAACCTCCACTGGGATGTCATCAGGTCCTACTGCCTTCCCCTTCTTCATTCTTTTCAGAGATTTCTGGACTTCACCCTCATTAATCTTTCCCACTTCCTGGTCCACAGTTTCTATGACCTCTACTCTTCTTTCTCTTTCATTCTCTTCATTCATTAGCTCCTCAAAGTACTCCATCCATCTTCCTGTCACACTCTCCTCACTTGTTAGAACATTATCATTCCTATCTTTAATAAGCCTAACCTGCTGCACATCCTTTCCAACCTGATCCCTCTGTCTTGCCAATCGGTACAAGTCCTTCTCGCCCTCTTTAGTGTCCAGTCTCCCATACAACTCATCGTACGCCCTCTGCTTTGCCTTAGCTACTTCCCTCTTTGCTCTACATCCCATCTCCTTATATTCCTGTCTCCTCTCTTCAGTCCTCTCACTGTCATAGTTCTTCTTGGCTAATTTCTTTCTTTGAACGGCGTCCTGCACTTCACTATTCCACCACCAGGTTTATCATCCATTCTCTGTCCAGATGACACACCAAGTACCTTCCTACCTGTCTCTCTAATTACTGTTACTGTAGTAGCCCAGTCATTTGGAAGCTCTTTCTTACTACCCAGAGCCTTTAACAGCTCCTCTCTGAATTTGTCACAACATCCTTCCTTCTTCATCTTCCACCATTTGGTCTTCTTCTCTGATTTTACTCTTTTACTCTTCTTCACAACAACAGTCATTCTACACACAACCATCCGATGCTGTCTGGCCACGCTCTCCCTGCCACAACCTTACAGTCTCCAATCTCCAATCAATCAATCAACCTGTATAAATAAAGGTTGATTGATTGATCTCCCTCAGGTTTTCTCTCCTATACAGAATGTAGTCGACCTGCGTACTCCTTCCTCCACTCTTATAGGTCACTTTATGTTCCTCCCTCTTTTGGAAATAGTTATTGACTATAGCCATTTCCATTCTCTTGGCAAAATCCACCACCATCTGTCCTTCCTGGTTTCTTTCCTTGACACCAAACCTACCCCTCACTTCCTCATCCTCTCTGTTTCCTTCACCAACATGTCCATTCAGGTCTGCTCCGATCACCACTCTCTCCTCCCTGGGAATACTCTCTATCACTTCATCGAGATCTTTCCAAAAATGTATCTTTCTCCTCATCATCACATCCAACCTGTGGAGCATAACCACTAACGATGTTTAGCATCAGACTTCTACCTTCAGGCACATCACCCTATCTGACACTTTCTTCACCTCTACTACATTATTTGCCAACTCCTCCTTTAGGACTACCACTACCCCATTTCTCTTTCTATCCACACAAGTTCAAACTGTTTTACCATGGTAAAACAGTTTGAACCCTGCTCCAATGCTGCGAGCCTTGCTGCCCTTCCACTTGGTCTCTTGGACACATAAAACATCTACCTTCCTTCTCTGTATCATGTCAGCCAGCTCTCTACCTTTGCCTGTCATTGTCCCCACATTTAGAGTTGCAACCCTCAGTCCTACATTCTTCACTTTCCTCTTCTCCCTCTGTCTCCTGACACGTTTCCCTCCTCGTGGTCTTCAACTAACGGTAGCACAATTTCTGCCGGCACCCTGTTTGTCAACAGCACCGGTGGCGGTCGTTGTTAACCCGGGCCTCGACCGATCCGGTATGGTTTCGTTTTGATGAACTCGCATTATTGTTTTGGCAACAGTGTTTTACATCGGATGCCATTCCTGACACAACCCTCACCATTTACCTGGGCTTGGGACAGGCACAAGAAATACACTGAATTGTGCTCCCTAGTGGCTGGTTTGTGTAGAACAGAACATGAAGTATAAAAAAAGAACATGATATGTAGAACAGAACATGAAGTATAGAACAGAACATGGTGTGTAGAACAGAACATGATGTATAGAACAGAACATGGTGTGTAGAACAGAACATGGTGTGTAGAACAGAACATGGTTTGTAGAACAGAACATGCTGTATAGAAAGAACATGCTGTATAGAACAGAACATGATGTATAGAACAGAACATGATGTATAGAACTGAACATGCTGTATAGAACTGAACATGCTGTATAGAACAGAACATGATGTATAGAACAGAACATGATGTATAGAACAGAACATGATGTATAGAACAGAACGTGATGTATAGAACAGAACATGATGTATAGAACTGAACATGCTGTATAGAACAGAACATGATGTATAGAACAGAACATGATGTATAGAACAGAACATGATGTATAGAACAGAACATACTGTATAGAACAGAACATGCTGTATAGAACAGAACATGATGTATAGAGCAGAACATGATGTATAGAGCAGAACATGCTGTATAGAACAGAACATGCTGTATAGAACAGAACATACTGTATAGAACAGAACATGCTGTATAGAACAGAACATGCTGTATAGAACAGAACGTGATGTATAGAACAGAACATACTGTATAGAACAGAACGTGATGTATAGAGCAGAACATACTGTATAGAACAGAACATACTGTATAGAACAGAACATACTGTATAGAACAGAACATGCTGTATAGAACAGAACATGCTGTATAGAACAGAAC